TCTGTGTTGATGAGAGAATCAAAGTGTATGCGCGTTGTGCACCCGCTACATTATGGCCAAGCATGCGCGCTTAAAATAGCATAATGAACAACGCGCAACGCGCCACTGACTTTAGACTAGTTTTTTTCTGGTCAGTGGCGCAATTGTTTTATAGAACAGCAAAATAGCATGAGGGAAAGTTTGCGCCGGAACACGCCTCCTCTTTGCGCTGAACCGCCCCGGGGAGCGCAAGTGTATTTCTTAGTTAACCGACGTGTGTCTGTGGAGGGAAAAGTCCGCTTTGCGCGGGTGCAAAATAGGAATGATACATGCGTCAGTGTACAAAGTCATTTGCGCCGAGTGCAAGATAGAGCCCAGATGTGTTGAATGCTCAGAGCGCGTTATAAAACGTATTCTTAAAATACACATTTCTGTTTTAATAAATGCTCATAGTAAATCATAGCATATTGCCTAAAACATTAGGTAGGTACAAAAATAATCAAACGGTGATACATTTGCGACCCATTAAAAATTAGGGTCGCAATGGCATTTCAAAAGGTCGCATATGCGACCATTTTGGTCGCAGTGTAGTTCCCTGTAGCCCATGGTGTGTTCACCAGCCATCAGCATCAAAGTGTGTGAGGGGGCGTGGATTAGCCCTAGAGCAAAAACACAAATACACACAATCCCTCTCTCACATACACAAAACTCCAATCATTTTCTCCTCACGTTTTGTCCATCTCTTTCTTTATTTCTTAGTCAATCCTTTTTATAGCTAACATACACATCCTACACAACCACAAACACAACACCCTACTCTGTGTTCCCTGGCAGATTTGCACTAATTTAGCCCCTGCTGTTAATGTGGTCACAGTCTGACCGAGGCTGCTGTCACTGCAATTACAAAGAGAATTCTAGAATGACAGTATTGCCATGGGAAAGAGGGAGATTGAGAGGGGGAAAAGAGGTCTCTGACAACTTTCTTGTGCTCTTTCCTACAGTATTCCCTCTTCTATCATGGTTGGAGAAACAGACTGAGCTGAGCATATAATGGAAACTTCTGAGAGTTGGCTTTGCTTATTGTAAATATGACCCTTTTATTATGAGGAACAGTGTCTAAAGTGGTTAAGTGGACACCCGTGAGAGATGAGTTACGCTCGTAGTTGATAATGATGTGCAGAATTGTGCAGTATCCATCCAGTCAATCGACGTTCACGGTGAAAGTGATTTGCAGTGACAAAGCAAACTGAAGTCCTTCATTTCCAGCCATCATTTGTGATGCTCAAAATTGAGCATTGAGCAAAAACAAATGAGCTTTATTCGCAAAAATAGAAATAAAGCGATCGACAATGTTATGTTGTTCATTGCTTGATACAGTTGACAGTTTTGTTATTAACTAAAACTAATAGCAACGTTTCCATTAATTGAAATAAAGATGAAATGAAACATTTGAATTAAAATAAATAAAATTGACACATAAAATTACTAAAACTTAAACTAAATAGAAAACTGAAAGCTAATTCGAAATATTAATAAATAGTATTTGAAACTGGCAGTTGAAAATATTTTTAAGCTTTTATCTCATACTGACGTCATGCTTTGGACACATTATGAGGCAGTGTCAGTCTGTGGATGGTTTATGATAGTATTGTGGGACTGCATTTTGAAAGAATGTGTTTAGATATAAAGATATCAGTGATCTTGGAATGTAGGGAGTACTTTGCGCAGATGTGCGGTGTTGGTGTAGATGTCATGTCTAGAGACTCAACAGAGAGGAAGAGAAAGAGGAGGAATTCACTTGTTCAGCTTCAGCTCAGCATCTGTTAGAAAAAAAAAAACATCTGCCAGAAAGACAACGCCCTTTTACTAAGGCTGTCTCACACACAAGCTTGGGTGGTAAACTTATCTAGGACCCGGTATAAATAATTTAGTACTTGACACCAACAGTGAGAATTTGCAGGGGATAGTCAAGGCCCTGTAAGCTGAAGAAATATGGCATGCAGGTACAGGGTAGAAAGTCGAAGAGAGGAGAAGACTTTTTTTATAAAACAGACCTGACTTGAGATAGAGATAGAGAGGTTAAGACAGAGACCTTAAGACAGAGACCTACACTGTGACAAGTTCACAGAAATACAAAAAACCTTTCAGACCTCATTCTACTTTTTTCCACTTTAGCAGAAAAGGATCAAATGTATTACTGGGGGAGGGCATGCAGTAATTTTATATTTATATAATTTATATATATATATATATATATAATTTTTTAAAAATTGTTTAATTTTTTTATACCGTATGTTTAACATGGTTATTTTCTTACCATTGTCTATCTATATATATATATATATATATATATATATATATATTCAAATTTCTTTTTGCTGCTCGTCTGTGTGAATTTATGCTCAATTTTCATTTTTCATTTTTTTATTAAAATTTTGTACATGATTTTTTTATTACTATTTTTTCTAGACTTTTTTCTGTCTCTGCTTGTGTGTGTGCGTGTGTGCGCTTTGGCTACAATCTTGACAATAAATTACTAAAAATTGGAAAAGCAGAGACAAGAACAGTCTGGAAGAGAAATGCTGCAGGAGTGGAAAGGGTGGGTTATAGACGGACACAGAGGAAGGATAAAGGGATAATTGGACTGGTAGTAGGAGAGGAAAAATAAAGGGACGAGGAAAGTGCTATTGTGAAACACCGAGCAGAGGACAGTTGATGGTGCAGAGGACGTCCAGCACTAGAGAGAGAACCCCCTAATGGACTAATGAATAGTGTGTAAATGAATCAGGCCTCTTTGAAAATATGAAACGAGGGGATGAAATTGGAAAGACCAGGTGATGTTGATTGAAGAGCTGGAGGAGGACGAGAAGGCCGTTGTTGTTTATCCGCGGTATGTGCTTTATCGCTTAGAAGACCAGGAGCTGTGCCAAGTGTTTGGACTCTTGGAGGAGTTTGTCGAATCTGTTTTATGAGTAGAGTTATAAGGTCTTGGTGCATTGGTCCTACAGAGACTCAAACACACAAATACACAAACACAGGATACATCTGCATCACAACACCCACACCACCTACACACAATGCCAATACGGTAAAAAAAGCATCTGTCTTACAGAAACACTAATAACAGGCCATGTACGCTCATAGCAATGAATTGTGGGCTGACATTTATGTGATTTAATGTGCCGTTATCAGTTATGCTGTTAGTTCATGATCTATCGCCAACAATTTTAGGCATTTCTGTATTTCTCTCACCTCGCACTCATTCTCATCCTTTATTGGCATGACAATTGGTATTGATAATTAAAATAAATAAAGAAAAAAAAACAATAGTGCAAATAAAGGAAACAATTTGTACCGTTCAATTATTACTTTTTACTTTTTTTAATACATTAACAAATAAAACCATACAAAGTAACATTAGAAAATAATAATAGTCATTTGTATTTACCTTTCCATTGCTCAAGGATGCTTAAAGTAGATACAATTAGAAAAGAAAGGTAACAGCAATAGGGTAGGTAATAATAACAAACAACAGGTAATAATGAAAGACAATAGTACGCAGAGAAGAAGAAAAATAGAATAATAAAGCAAGGATAAAACAAAGATAGTAAAAGGGTATTACATTGACGGGGTGGCAAACATCAGCAGAGAAATACAAAACCCAGCTTAAGAATGATAACATTCAGAAAACAAATGAGTTTTGAGTAGGGATTTGAATTCAGAAATATTATTAATGCAGGAGAGAGACTTCCATAGTTTGGGTGCAATAACACTAAATGATCTACCTTCCAAAGAAGAGAGGCGACACCGAGGGACAGAGTGAAGGCCAGATTCAGATGACCGAAGTGATCGGGTCAGGATGTAGGGGAGAAGCAGATTACAGAGATAGCTAGGAGCCAAGCCATGCAATGATTTGAAAGTGAGCAGTAGTATTTTGTACCTGATACGATAGGCCACTGGTTGCCAGTGGAGATTTAACAGAATAGGGGTGATATGGGCAGAACACTTGGTGTAGATGAGTATTCTTGCAGCAGCAGAGTTCTGAATATATTGCAGTCTGGCAATGGAGCTAGCAGGTAAACCAATGAAAAGGACTTTACATTAGTCAAGACGGGATGAAACGAAAGCATGGATAACCGTTTCAGCATCTTTAACACTAATGAAGGGACGGTGCTTGGCAATGCCACCCACGCAAGTGAAAGAATGCAGATTTGGTGATAGAGTTGATATGAGTTTCAAAAGTGAGAGAGGAATCGGAAAAAAATAACACCAAGATTTTTAACAGTACTGGATGATTTGATGAGAGTAACAGCAATATCACAGGTAAAGTCCGTAGGAATTTTGCTAATAAGTGATGGGGTTCCAGTTATGATTTCAGTCTTGTCCATGTTTAGTTCCTGAAAGTTGGAGTTGAGCCAAAAATATTTTATTAAATAATTTAGGTAATTCCATTAAATAAATTCATTAATCACAATTTTTTAGATAATAATGATTTCTCTCATGTACTATTTCTCTCTCTCCTCATTTCTCCACTTAAAAACAAAAACCCCGTGAGGACCTGAGCATCTGGAATAACACTCACTCCCACTTCTCCCCCTCCGGCTCCTTCCACACGTCCTCACTCTCTCTCTCTCTTCATTCGATAACAGATTGCTGTGATCGTGAGGCCCCGTTGCCCACAGGTTGCTGCCCATCAAATGGTGCCACGCTGGCGGGCACACGCGGGGTACACCGGTGGGGGGCGGCACGTGGGGGAGCATGACATAATCCATCTCTATTTCACATCTCTTAAAGCCCTTCACAGGTGCAGGGCTCAAACATGTGCGTTCAATTGAACCGAGGTTTAACCGAATGACTCACTGTGGCGTGCCTCTGGTTTGCCAAGAGAATTGTTTGTACAGATGCAAACAATCCTTGGAATAAAATTGAAAGTGCTGAGAAATGTGATGTCATTCTGAGGGGGAATTTTTTCAAGAGAGTTTGATTTAGGAGACAAATTACTTTCTTCTTCTATTTTTTAGGATGAGTGCCGTAACTACATGAAGGTTCTCCTCAGTCGGCAGGGTGGATTGTTTATCTGCGGGACCAACGCCTTCAATCCCTTATGTGCCAATTATACAGTGAGTACTGCATACTTGAAACACACTTGCACAAAAATGTATTGTTTCAGAACCTCACCACACCCTCTGTGCTTTCATTACCCCAAAGTTTTGTCAATGTTTTTGGGCTCTGTATTTTCTCATTACATTTTTTCATACTTTTTTTTATTCTATGCAGCCCATTACATTTCTCACATATTTTCTTTCATTCTCCCTAACTGCTTTTTTTGCTTCAAAACTTAATAGTGCATTTCAGAGCACTGCTTGCAGCATCGTTCCAACCGACTGGCTTCATTGGGTCACTACGCATTTTTGACCCGGATGGGAATCACTTCACAACCCCCAAGCTAAAAAAGAGTCTCCCCTGCCATTTGTTTATACTCTGTTTTTCCACCTGCCTGACCGTCAATATGCCCAGAAGCAGCAAGCTGTTTCTGATGATCTCAAGAGCAGAGAGCTGTCATTAATCAGTCTAGATGCGGTTTTCTGTGCGTGGTTGTTTATTCGAAAAGAATGGTAATGCCACTCAAAGGGCACGTTGTTTGAATCCAAGACTCTGTGTGTGTGCGTGCGTGCGTGTGTGCGTGTGTGTTGGTTGCCTTCCATCCATCTGGCCGGTGACTCTATCGCCCCCAGCGTACGTGAGTCACATTAATGGAGGGTCTTAGCTGCTGGTCCACCTGCGGCATCAACTTGAAACATAAATGCTGAACCAATCACACTAATAATATACAACATGCTGGATAAAGAAGGAAAACACATAATTACTAATCATCCACTCTGCCGGATTCTAGCCTGGAATAATATAATATAATAATGATATTTTTTATATACCACCATGTAAAAGTTTGGGGTCAGTAATATTCTTTTGTAAGAATGTTACAGAAGATTTCTGTTTTAAATAAATGCTCTTCTTTAAACGTTTTAAAGGATTTCAAATTTTATCAATTCTGTACACCAAATGCTTGGAGATAGGAAGCAGTTTTGTAACAAATTACGTTTCCTCCGTTAAGTAATTTCTCTGTTTAGTAGCAATTTGAGAAACTGCTTTAAGAGCAAAATTGCAGACACCCCGATCTTGACAACCACCTGCCGCTATTTCCATCAAGGGATTCAGAAAGATAGAAGTTTGTGTATGCAGTTCTCGAGGACATGAAGAAACTCTGTCTGTCAGGTCTGAAACACACTGTTGCAGATCTGAGTAAAAGAATTATCGCACACCTGTAATGCAACATTACACCTGACAAGAGTTTTAAGAGGCTCTCTAGAGACAAACATGTATGATAGAGACAGAGAGAGAGAAATAGAGTGCACAGGTTTATTTATAGTTAGTTGTAATGGCCTGAGAGTAATTTTCAGCTTGAACTGTTATTGTGCTATAAATCGCCTGTGGATGTTTTTGAAATGAAATTTTATGCATATGTTTTCACTCTGCTTCTGTTATTCCTACACTTGTTACTATTTCTCTCTTTCTGCTTTTGTATTAGCCAACTCTATATTTCGGATACCATTTATTTTGATAGTGTTAGTTATTCACTTACTTTCTGCACATTGGGCATTTTTGTCTCTAATTAATGAGTGTGTTTTGTATGTGTGTGTATGCAGGGAGACACTCTTGAGATGGTGGGTGAAACCGTCAGTGGGATGGCTAGATGCCCATATGACCCGAAACATGCCAACGTGGCCCTGTTTGCAGGTGAGACTCCGCCAGCATATTCTGTTGCTTTCTGCATTAACGCAGTGAACATGACTGCATATTACAGGACTATATATAGATATACAGCAGTGCGGTAATGCTGTTATTCTTTAACTTAATTACATGCCGGTCTATGAACAATATTTATGTGTATCTCTCAATGTAATCATGCACATATGCTGTCCTGCACGACATTATGGCTTTACTGCTTCCTGCCTGGACGAACCTAAAGGAAATTAATTTTTTTTTAAGTATATGAAGATGCATTACTCTGACAAAAGTATATTGAGAGCATATTTTTAGTCTGTAAGGCAGTGCTGATCCATCAGAGAAGGCAAGGAAGCTAAACAACTAAAAATATCTGTTGTTTTATCAATTTACCACATAATGTGCATAACTCAGATGCATGAAACATGTATTCTGATGCACAAAGGGGATATGTTAGATGGAAAAGGGGAAAGGTATATATTATATCATATTATATTACTTTTTATTATATGTATTATTTTTAGAGAGGTTATATATATTATTATTAGATTATATTTTATATAATATTATCTCTACATATATCTCTGTCTACATATTATTATAGAGAGATATTTTATATAGTTTGTGTGCTGTTTTTGCAGAGGGGAATCTCTACACTGCCACAGTGACTGATTTTCTGGCCATTGATGCCGTGATCTACAGGAGTCTGGGGGACAATCCTGCCCTGCGAACGGTGAAACACGACTCCAAATGGTTTAGAGGTAATGAAGACGTCAGACGTTAGTTGACGGGAAGGGGAAGCCGTGCAGACTAGAGTCAGCACATGGATGTAATATTAATGCTGTTTGTGAATGTATAATGTGTGTGAGAGACAGTTAAGTGTATTAATGCATGTGTCATGTCTGATGTTAAAAAGCATTTTTCACTTGCATGACTTTACTGCTCCAAAACCTAGCCTACTGTCTAAATCGGCAACTGCCTGCTAAGACAGCCTGCTAACTATCATGAAATAGTCACAAGTGACCATTTTAAATATATATATATATTAGGGCTGTCACAAATATCATGCTAATTTTTCTTCTTCTTCTGTTTAACATGTTGAAAACGTTTAACGGAATCAACGCAGCATAGTATATGATTACAGTATATAATTATGCTATCTGGGTTCCACGAGATCTCAAGAGAACACAGTTAGTTACTGGCGCACTGTCTGAGAAGCAGTAGTCTACTATGTGAACACGCACCCGAAACATACACACAGAAAGCTGCTTCTCAGACAGTGTGATTGTACAGATTTGAGGTTATCGTTTACGTCTTAAAGTGTTTGAATGGACAAAAACACACAAAATCATGATCAATGCTTGTTTTTCTAAATATCCTTATAAGCACCGTCCTAAAAAAGTCTCAAATAAACGTAAAGAGAGAAAATCGTATGCGTGTCAGATAGTGCTGCACGATTAATCATATCGCGATGTCAAGCCTATGCGATTGACGCAAAATGCTGCGATTTTATGAAATAAATAAATGCATGTGTGGACATGACAACCCATTCTCTCTGAGAGCTGTTTGCCCATTTTTTACACCGCTAATAGAAAGAAGACCAGTCAGTTTCAGTTTAGGCAGTGGCACGTGTGGCGCTATGGTCACGTCGTGACTTTTTCCGGTGTGCAGCGTGGAGAACAGGTGAAGATGGATGATACTAAACTGGTGGCCAGAAAAAAATCTACCTCTGTTATATGACGATATTTTGGCTATAAGATAACCGACACTGAACAGAGAGAGCAGGGCTGCCAACTCTCATTCATTCGGCGTGAGACTCTCGTAATTGACACTTTTCACACGCTCTCACACCACACATCCATTTTCTAACGCAGAGAAAAATCGCACTGACAGCGACAGACTAGACAGAGCAGGTTTGATATTAAACAAATCATCAGCTCTCAGATTCTGTAAATTTTATTACGAAATTCAAACAATAGCGTTTTGGCACTTGTAACTGTGACGTGACGGGTCGTGAACCGAACATTTACTCTCTTTACTAGTTAATAGTAAATAAACAACACGAATGAACAATAGGTGTGTTGAAAGATACAGTACAACTTACCGAAATTTATATGCCAGCATACATAATATCGATCAATCAGTGTTTTTCAACCGCGGAAAGAGGTCAATAAAACAGCTGGAGAACAATAGGCTTAGGCTATGTCACATAATGTTATATTTACCTCCGGAAAGCCATTTGTTAGCACGTTAGTTGGCTAGACAAATTAGAGTATATAAAGAGAAGAGTATTTTGCTAAATATGTGCACTATATTAAATATTTATTATATTTTTACTTATATCATTAAAATATTGTAGCCTAATGTTGTTATAGCCTAGTAAAAAAACAAATTATATTTAATTTGAGTTACTTTTAACCTTTAATAATAATACCAGCTGACAGGGCTCTCTGTATGTTTACAGCATTAGGTCAGATATTTATTTGCTTGAGAAAAATTAACATGTATCTACTGTATCCAAATGAATCGATATTGAATCAAGATTGGAATCAAATCACAAGATCAAGCAATAATAAAAACAGTAGCCTACCAGTCATTGTACAATGTAAATGTAAACATTGTAACATATTGTCACTAAACTTAACAAAATTCTGTCACAATACACATCCTGCTTAAATATCCCTTTTTGTCTGGACTGAATGTTCAAAATATCTTATTTTCATGAGCATACAAAAGTTATTTATTGTTCTATTTATTTTATACTATTGTACTATTGACACAATAACAAGTTTGTAGTAATGCAAAGATGTCATTATTTAATTTTGTAAAAAAGATTATTTTAATTTGAAAACACTGAGTTGAGAAATACACATTTCAGCATTATCACTAATCTGTGTGTGCATTTTCCCTGAGAACTAAGCAAGTTGACTCATGAAACCATTTGTTTATTATATCGCAATCGCATTATTGACCTCAATAATCGCAATATGACATTTTCCCCAAATCGTGCAGCCCTAGTGTCAGATCAGCGTCATGTGCATCAGGTCTTAAAGTGACAGCAGTAAATATCCATTCTACAGTCTGTGTCGTTAGTGTTAATCAAAGAAAAAAGAAAAAAGAGATAATCACTTTGTGCTCTTGTCTGAATAACTTTTGTAGGTTTAATAAGGAGTCATCTTTATTTAGTTTATTACAGTGAGGACTATGCAGTTATTTTACATTTGATTACTTCAATTTATGTAGAATCTCTAGCTTGAGCTGTTACAGTACATTGTATGCATATCATACATTTAATAATATAAAATATCAATAAAAACAGATCAGTGATATATTAAATTAGATTCATATTTCCAAAATATGAATTGGATTTATGTTTGAGATTTTCACAATTGCGTTCTTGGGTAGACATCTCATTAGGTTTTGGAGTGGAGGTTAATGTCAGGTTCGATAAGGCTTTCTAAGAATCCACATCTGAGTCAGCAGTGTCAGAATCCACCCCTTCTTCCCATCTTCCTTTTCTCCTATGGTCTGTGGCCTGATGTGATCTCTCACTGATGCAGCAGAAAGCACATCTGTGTCCTGACTCAAACTCCCTCCTGCTGTCCTGGGTCACTTCCTGTCCCAAAACGCCCTCACTTTCCTTCTTTTGGTTTGTGTGTCCGTTGACGAGCTAATGGCCCTATTGGAAAGCAGCCTGTAGTTCAACACTGTAGTTCTGTCAGATCAGCCTTTCTGAAAATGATGTGATCTGAGAGAGCAGTAAAGTGTCCTAAACAGGAAACACTAATGGTTTGGTCCTGGTCGGTCTGTTTCAGAGCCGTACTTTGTGAATGCTGTGGAATGGGGGCCGCATGTCTACTTCTTTTTCAGAGAGATGGCCATGGAGTTCAACTACCTGGAGAAGGTGAGAGGATGGTAGAGCACAAGTCTCATTATTCTCAGGTTTCATAATGAGAAAAAGTCCCCAATGTTCTCACATGCGTTTCTTCTAGGGTTTCATAAGACATCCAAAGAGTGCCAGTCTGCACTCAGAAGGCATATATTTCAATTCACTTGTAAAATTCAAAGTTATTTATTGGCATTTATGGTTCTATGAAAAACCTTTAACATCCATTTGACTTTTTCATTGCACAAAAGGTTATTTATAGTGGAAAAGGGGTTCTTTAGATTATTAAAATGTTCTTCACTCTAAGAAAAAAATGATTCTTTTAAGATCTGTTCACTTAGAGGTCCTTTGGGTAACCCAAAATGGTTCTTCTATGGCATCACTGCAAAAACCACCATTTGGAACCTTTGTTTCTTGGGAGAATTTATACTCTATAGTTACATGACACCAAGATCATGGTTTCAATTCCCAGGGAAATCATCAAATGTATACATTGAATGCGATGTAAGTTAGTTTTGATGAAACATCTGCCAAATCCATAAATATAAACATAAAATTCCTGGGGTGCAAAAGAGAAAATTGGAGTTAAATCTTCCTGTGGGATCGGTGGAGAAAGATCAGGGAAAAAATAGTGGGAGTAATCTGAAATTGTGTTACCGTATGTCCAGTCTGGCAATATTATTCAAATGTCAATACTAACTACTGTATTTCCAGTCAGACTGCAGTATGACCTTTTCCCTGTTTTTGTGCTGAATGTTTAATTTAATAATCATGCCCTATAAAGCTGGTTTGAGTGTAATTTAAGCACACAGAAGATTTTTTTTTTTTCTGTTGTTGTTTTTCAGGGCAACTGAAATACCATCCGTAATATCATTTACTGAAAACTGAGAAAAACACATCGAAACGCGAACAAGGGTTCCTATTATGTGAGAATTAGCAATGCAAGACTTCTGCAAGAACAGAATTGTGCTTGCGCAAGCATTTTGTACTGCTGGACCTCAAGGAGAACAAAAACCCACTGGACTTTGGATTCAGCTCTTTTGAAATCACTTGCCGAACCCGTTTTAGGGAATGCTGACATTTTCATGAATGAATTTATATTAGCTTACCCATTTTACACAGAATAGCTACTCTCCAAAATCTGCTTAAAATCCACAAGGATTAAAAGATTTAGGGCTTTTTGGAGAGGATACAGTACTGTTTGATGTGCGTACTATCAACTGCTTAAAATTCATAAGTAATATGCAAGTTAATTTCATTTTCTGTGACCTTAGGTGGTTGTGTCTCGCGTAGCACGCGTGTGCAAAACCGATCAGGGCGGTTCGCAGCGCGTGCTCGAAAAGCAATGGACGTCCTTCCTGAAAGCTCGGCTGAACTGCTCAATACCAGGAGACTCGCACTTCTACTTCAACCTCCTGCATTCCACCAGTCCTATCATCCGCATGCATGGCAGGGATATCATCCTCGCTGTCTTCTCTACACCCTCCAACAGGTGGGTCACAGCCTTTACGTGCAAACACTGACGAAACTGTTTCTCGGAAGCAGTCAAGAAACGAGAAAAGAACCACCCACGATGCATATTGCGCACAAAAATGAAAAAAAAAAACTGTCTGAAATCACTAGCTTCTCTCTGATTGGCTGGCTTCCAATTTCCAGAAGTCAGGGTGCACTGGTTTTTATCAGTCTGCTACTGAGAAAAGTTGTATTTGCAAGTTTCTAGGCTTTTAAAATGAGCTTTTCTGTAGAAGGATTTGCCAAAGTTTGCTAGGAATCAATCTTTGAAAGATTATGTTGGAAACTCTTGATAGCAAATACTGTAAACAAGATATACAAGCATACCAACTCTACCGTTCATAAGTTTAGGGTCAGTAGATAAAAAAAAGAAGAAAAATTATTATATTATATTTTTATTGAGAAAGGATGCATTCAATTGATCATTAAGTGACGGCAATTACGTTTTCATTGTTACAAATAAATCAGTTTTAAGTAAATGCAGTTCTTTTGAACTTTATATTCATCAAAGAGTCCTGAAAAAAAATGTATCACTGTTTCCACAAAAATATTAAACAGTTTTTTACATTGATCATAGGAAATGTTACTATAGCACCATATCAGCATATTATATGATTTTTGAAGGATCATGTGACACTGAAGTAATGACTGCTGAAAATACAATTTAAACTATATTCAAAAAGAAAACGGTTATTTAAAAAAAAAAAACTGACATATTGAATAGAATAGGTGACCTCTTTCTGATAAAGTGGGGGCAGCACTTGGATTGAATAAGCTGCAATATAGACCTTCACATTGAAAATGTGGCTAAAGAAGACTAAGAACCACCTGATTCCAACCAGACTCTCAAGAGATAAACTCCCAAATATAGTGCATTAGCAGCCTCATTGATAGACAGTTGAGCTGGAAATATCACAGGCTGGTGGCAACAGCAGAGCACTGGGAAACGGGTACAATCGCTCTGGGTTTAGGTCGTCCTGTGGGATTGTGGGTGAAAAACCACTGAATATAGAACACTGGTGCGACACTGCAGGGAATTTTATTGCAGGTTTTAATGGCGTGTAGAGAGGCTCTGACAGAACGGGAAGGGGAAGAGATAGATGTTGATGTATGAATGAGGAATGGAATTGATGTGGGGAGATGTACACATGCTGACAGGCTGTCACCAGGATGTCACACTTAGAGAGGAAAGCAACAACAAAACATATATTTTTGGGATCAGGGAGCAAGTGCATGTTTTGACGGAGTTTGCTGGAAATAATTACAGGAAAGAATGTGAGAACATGAAAAGAGGGAGGGCTGTCAAAAGAGATGGGAGTGAAGAAGCTGAAAGAGTCATTCCTATGAGAGGAAATGAAGAGAAGAGAAAATTGAGAGAAAATGGTTCATGTATGCACTTTTCTACCAGTGTGTGTGATCAAGGTATGAGAGTGACTGCAGTGCTTCAAGGGACAGTTCACACAAAATTGTTTTTAAAATTGTTTATTTGATCAGTAAATGAAGTAAAAACAGTAATTTTGTGACATTATTCACGTTTAAAATAACTGTTTTTACTTTAATATAATTTAAAATGTAATTTATTCCTGTGATGGCAAAGCTGAATTTTCAGTATCTACATGATCCTTTAGAAATGATTTCTTATTATCAATGTTGAAAACAGGTGTGCTTCTTTTTAATGTTTTTGTTTTTAAGAATTATCTGATTGATAGAAGTAAAAAAAAAAACTGCATCTTTACTTTTGGTTTTGATCAAATTAAATCATCCTTGCTGATTATTAATTTCTTTCAAAAACAAAATCACCAAAAACCTTTGAATATGTAGACTAAATCAATGAAAAAATCGAAATAAATTTCAAATAAAATGTTTTAAAAATTGTTTTAATGCTACACGTGAATTTAGCAATCACAGTATCATATTGTACAGTATATTCCTATTGAGATTTACTAAAGATTACATTTAACAGTTTTATTGAACCATTAATGTTTTTAAATATTTACTTTGAGTAAGCATTAGATGAATGCAAAGGTCATGATGTAATGTAGGTCTAAATGTAATGATGTATAATGATTTTGTTTTTATTTGAAAGTGAAATATGACTTAGTCAAATTTCAGACTCTACTGTACATCAGTTGAAAATTTATTTAATATCTTGTTGAACTATCTCCTCAGTGTGTGTAAGAGCGTGCATGATTTGTAATATTTTTATGAGACCTGTGTGCATGCGACAAATGAAGAGCAACGAGCACCCTCTAAATGATGGAGGAAGGGCAGGACTCCCAGCATGCAAATGTGTATTTATGTCAGAGCATGGGCCAAAACTCAGCAAATGCCAAGTCTAATAACATCTCAGCCTGCTAATGGCTGATCTGGGGGGGGTCGAGATGGGAAAAGAAAAAGATGAAGGATGAGTATATGTGTGTGTGTGTGTGGTGGTTTTGGGGGGGGGGGGGGTGGTACTCAAGGACGAATGAATAAGGCAGGCAGTCAATAATAGCCCATGTCTTCCCCCACCTCTCCTTCACAAGAGTTAAAAACGGTTTTATCATCAGCCAAGGTTCCTCTCCTCCCCTCTTATCCTGAGGGTACGGATCCACGGCGGGCTCAGTAAGAGATGGAGCACCGAGGTGCAGTGGCAGGGAGCGTCCAGCTGTACAAGCATTCCCGTCTGCAGCTGCAGTCCTCTATAAACAGCGCAGGGGGCTTCGCTAGCCTGCCGGGAGGATGTGTGGTCTGTTAAAGAGCTCTCAGACAAATTGCCAGGACCGGTTAGTGCGTGGCAGACACAGCAGCAGGGGAGGACTATGGGAATAAGAGGAGGGCATTCTGGGATGTGGTTGAGATGGGTATAAGTATTATGGGAAGGACTGTAATAAAGTGCAGATTGTCTAAAAGTCAGTGGTGAATGGAGAGTGGTTACAGCACTATTCTGTGGATTTTTAACATTTTGCTGGTTTCTCATAAAAACTGATTTTTTTATACATGAGCAGATTTAAATTCTAAATCTTACTTTAAATATTCATGCACATTTTTTCTAAATAAGCCAAGCCAAGAGTCACAATTGCTTGTACTTGGTATGGGATTTGAATGAATAACCCTAATTTGTAATGCTTAATAGAATGAGTAGTTAGTTCCTTCATGAAAGAGGCATGTACTTTACTTGTTTCTTATTTTCATATACACTATCGTTCAAACGTTTGGGGTTGGTAAGATTTTGTAATGTTTTTAATGAAGTCTCTCCTATCAGATTTCAGTTATTATTTAATAAGCTGATTTGATGAAGAAACCTTTTTTTTTATGTTGAAATTAATGTTGAAAACAGCTGTGCTGCTCAATATTCCTGTGGAAACCATGATACATTTTTCAGGATTCTTTGATGAATAAAAAAATTTAAAGATTTTTTTTTTTTTTAAATATAGGCTATATATATATATTTCAAATGTCTTTGCTGTCACTTTTTATCAAATTTAAGTGTCCTTGCTTAAAAAAAGTATTAATTTCTTTAAAAAAAATTACTGACCCCAAACTTTGGAAGAGTGGTATACTTTTTTGCTTCAAATCAAAGTTTGCAATGTTATGATTAATTTCAGAGGTGGTTGGTTTGGTTCATGGCTTATTCGTTATTGAAGAATGTTTTTAAATTTCTCTGGAGGAAATGAATGGGGAAAATACTTCCTGAAACCAAGACTGGAAAAATGAGTCATAATTTCTCTCCATTATACTTTGCTGTTTAAAGCATCAATACAGTTTTCTCCATTTTTTCCCCCTTTGTTTTATGCACATGGCCTGTAGCAGATGACATGAAATAATGGGAAGAAAAGGGGGGAACTTGCATTGCCCCCCATGAGTCAAAGCATAGAGTCAAAGCATGTGCTAGGGTGTTGAGGATGATTTCCAGGGCTTGCTGTATGGTTGCTAGGATTTCTGTGTGTGTTTTTTTTAAGAGTTCAAGATAAATCTTAGCTCACCTCTAAGTGTCCAAGATATTCTTATCCCTAGACATGGATCGGGTCATTCCTAGATAGTACACTAGCATTCAAAAGAAGATGATTCTTTGGTGAATCAAATGTGTTCCAATAAAACATTAAAGAGCTTTCATGCATATTAAGTATTTTCAGAATATTGTCTGTACAGAAGGCCGGTTTCACTATCACAGAAACAGAGCAGGCGGGAGAGAGGTGTTTGCATCTCATTTGAGCTCCCGATGCTTCGAGGTGTGAGGTCGAGGCTCCAAGCAGGGCAGGAGAGATGGAGTGAGATTGTTGTAAATGAGAGGCTGCAGGTGAGATCATCCTCTCAGTGGATCATGGTGGATGCAGGAGGAGGATGCTGAGTTCAGATTGAAGGGGGAAATGAAAGAAGGCCAGAATCTGCTGGAGAGGCACACGCTCGGGTTTGAGGCAGCTGAGGGACTATTAAAGAGAGAGTGGAGACAGAGAGAGCTCATAACGGTGAAGAGGAAAAGGAGGAATGAGCAACGGAGAAGCGTTTTGACAGAGCTCCAAGATGAGACATACAGAAAGAGACTGAGGAACTTTTCTGTTTAAACTGGAAGGAAATACAGTAATTCAATCAGATTTCCTTTACTAATCATTGCATTATATTTACAGTACAAATTTGTTTAAAGTAATAGTTAACTCAAAAAGAATAATTCTGTCATCAATTACTCGGCCTCATTCCAAATTTTTCACATTATGGAAAACAGCTTTTTTTCCCCAGTTCAAATATCTGAAGATAAAGATAAATATACTTGAAGCAACACTGCATAAAATATTAAGACTTGGTTTGAGAGATTGTATCTTTATTATGAGTGTATTCTTACTGCACTGGCAGTTTTTTTTACTTGTTTTAAATATGAAAATTCTGCTGGTGCAGTAAGACAAAATACGACTCTGAAAACAAGCCTGAGTTTATTTGATTTTTACATTAACCTTTTTAAAGATACAGTAGCATAAATGGTGGGGTTTTGTGGGTGGTATTGTAAACTGAATTACTGCTGTAAGAAACCTGATCTATTCATAAAATGCAACACAAATAATAAAAGTAAATGATAATAAACAATAATAGTTTAGCACAAAATTGTTTTAGAAATGTTTGTGTATAACATAAGTTTGTATGTGAAAGAAATGTTACAAGAAACAAGAATGCATAAGTTATGAGATTCTGTTTTAAAAAGAGAAAGACATGTTCTGCCAATGCTGCAAGTTCTTCACCTGTCAGGCCTTTTGGAGGGTGTGCAGTGTGTCAGACTGATGACATTGATGTTCAGGCCGATATGAGCCTAATGAGGTCTTGTCAGAAAATTGCCTGAATGCTGAAGCTGAACCGTTTGAACAGTTTCAGCTCTGTCAATCAGTAGGTCATTCTCAGCTGCTTTCTGGCCTATGCTTTCATACACACACACACACACACACACACATTAAAACCCACTGCAAACCAGTGGACATGTTGCAGATGTGTCCCACAATGCTATTGGAGACAGCTGTTTATCCTTGCTTCTGCCCCTGAGCTTTACAGACTCTCACATTAATTCCCTTCCAAACCCAGCAAGCCATACTCAACCACGGTTTGCACTGACCACAAAGCCCAGATCAGCATTGGTGATTTTGCCAGGTCAGCTTGGGTGTCACTCCAGCCAGACCTGAACCTGCCACCCAATCTCTCAGAGTCATAGCCCATAGAATCCTGGGTGACAAACTTACTGTGTACACCAAGAAGATTGCGAGAGCTATAGAGCTCAAGAGAGCGGTGGAGAGAGAGTGAACGACTCACCTGTGTCAAGGATGCATGAGAATATAGCTGTGGCTTGTACTTATAAAGTGTGTCAGTGCCGGGAATCTGAGGAGGAAGTAGAGAAGGAGAGATTGAGTGGGCGTAAACGAGAACTGAACTGACTCACCCTGTATGACTCTCTCGTCTCTCTTAAGAAAGTCTTTAAGTGCTGAAAGCTGTCACTTCACCAGAGACAAATCACTTCAGGACAGTTTAGAGAACGAAGCTCAGTGTTGCAGCAGGAGGAGAGAGAAAGATGCAATCACTATTTGGGTTTCCATTCATGTATTTTTATGTGCATTTGGAGATCTTGCATAAAAATTGCTGAATGGAGAAACTGAGATGTGTAAGATTTACAAAAAAATCCATAACAAACAAACAGTTCTACTCATATGTTTACATACCCCTTGCAGAATATGCAAGATATTATACATTTTTACAAAATAAGAGAGATCATAAAAATTGCATGTTATTATTTTATTTATTTAGTATTGTCCTTAATAAGCTGTTTCACATAACAGATGTTTACATACAGTTCACACTCTTAAAAATAAAAGTTCTTTGAACCTATCCATTGTGCTTAAGTGGAAAAGTGTGCTTTATAGTGGAAAAAGTTCTTTAAATTATTAAGAAAACTAAGAAAAAACGATCCATTTAAGAACCAATCAATGAAAGTTTATTTTGAGAACCCGAAATGTTTTTTTATGGCACCATTGTGAAAACCCCCTTTTGATACCGATTCACCCTTTTGAATTTATTTTAAAGAGTGAACAAGATAAAATTACTTTTGCATTTACACAAATAAACCTTAAAATGTAAAAAATAAAGTTACATATACTTGAATCGCAATGCTGTGTGTTGTTTCCTGGATGATCCACGACTGTTTTGTGATGGTTGATGGAGTCCCTTGTTTGTCCTCATCAGTGCCCGCTGTTCTTCAGAAAAATCCTCCAGGTCCTGCACTTTCTTCCGTTTTCTAGCATCTTCTGTACATTTGTACCCTTTTCAACAGTGAATGTATGATTTTGATATCGATATTTTCACACTGAGGATAATTGAGGGACTCATACACAAATATTACAAAAGGTGAAAACATTCACTGATGCTCAAGAAGGAAACATTATACATTAAGAGATGCAATAAGAAGACAAACCACACATTTTAAGGTATTCCTTGTTCATGGCATGAAGATGCTAATTGCTACGGGTTGATTTAAGTCCCTGATTCCAAGTCTAAGTAATAGAAATAGTAATTATTTCCATATTACAATATAATTGGATTCCTTTAAGATGCAGACAGTCACATACACTAAAACAAATAAACTGTTGATTGGACAAATTTGTGTAAAATACAATACAATAAAGAACGAAATGGTCTAAACCTCGAATTACATGCAATTTTACATTTATATGTATATTTTTGGACTTTGCAAGTAAAAACTAAAAAATTATGTAATTTTACACGGTAGAAGGACATTCCCAAGTCCATGCTTGACAAGACATGGATATATTTAATATACACTCACCGGCCACTTTATTAGGTACCCCATGCTAGTAACGGGTTGGACCCCCTTTTGCCTTTAGAACTGCCTCAATTCTTCGTGGCATAGATTCAACAAGGTGCTGGAAGCATTCCTCAGGGAGTTTGGTCCATATTGACATGATGGCATCACACAGTTGCCGCAGATTTGTCGGCTGCACATCCATGATGCGAATCTCCCGTTCCACCACATCCCAAAGATGCTCTATTGGGTTGAGATCTGGTGACTGTGGAGGCCATTTTAGTACAGTGAACTCATTGTCATGTTCAAGAAACCAATTTGAAATGATTAGAGCTTTGTGACATGGTGGAAGTAGCCATCAGAGGATGGGTACATGGTGGCCATAAAGGGATGGACATGGTCAGAAACAATGCTCAGGTAGGCCGTGGCATTTAAACGATGCCCAATTGGCACTAAGGGGCCTAAAGTGTGCCAGGAAAACATCCCCCACACCATTACACCACCACCACCAGCCTGCACAGTGGTAACAAGGCATGATGGTTCCATGTTCTCATTCTGTTTACGCCAAATTCTGACTCTAACATCTGAATGTCTCAACAGAAATCGAGACTCATCAGACCAGGCAACATTTTTCCAGTCTTCAACTGTTCAATTTTGGTGAGCTCTTGTAAATTGTAGCCTCTTTTTCCTATTTGTAGTGGAGATGAGTGGTACCCGGTGGAGTCTTCTGCTGTTGTAGCCCATCCGCCTCAAGGTTGTGCGTGTTGTGGCTTCACAAATGCTTTGCTGCATACCTCGGTTGTAACGAGTGGTTATTTCAGTCACTGTTGCCCTTCTATCAGCTCGAACCAGTCTGGCCATTCTCCTCTGACCTCTGGCATCAACAAGGCATTTCCGCCCACAGAACTGCCGCTCACTGGATGTTTTTTCTTTTTCGGACCATTCTCTGTAAACCCTAGAGATGGTTGTGCGTGAAAATCCCAGTAGATTAGCAGTTTCTGAAATACTCAGACCAGCCCTTCTGGCACCAACAATCATGCCACGTTCAAAGTCACTCAAATCACCTTTCTTCCCCATACTGATGCTCGGTTTGAACTGCAGGAGATTGTCTTGACCATGTCTACATGCCTAAATGCACTGAGTTGCCGCCATGTGATTGGCTGCTTAAGTGAAAATTAAGATTAAGTTAAGAAAATTAAATTAAGTGTTAACGAGCAGTTGGACAGGTGTACCTAATAAAGTGGCCGGTGAGTGTAGATAATTAAGTTTCTTATTTTTGTTTTCATTAATATACATTAGTTTATAATGTTTTGTTTTACATTTTCTGTTTAGTTAATGTTTATTGCATTATTTTAGTGTCATCTGTGTTACCCTAATGTTGTTTTGTCTTTGTGTGTATGACCCTGTGCTCCATCTATATACGAGTATTGGTCATGTTGAATTCTGATTCATCATGTGGCTTTCTATTGAGCCACTTGTATTATTGTTGGAGTAACCGTTTCTCACTGTTGCATTTGTGCATTGCTGTGTTCTTGAATAGTTCCTCAGTGGGAGGAAAAGGTCAAAGAGTGGAAGAGCAGTCACCCAAGGTTTCCTGTGACAGCTCTGGACAATATTCTTTTATTCTTTGCTCTATTTACCTTGAAATGACTGTCCAACTACCCACTGTACAGATCTATTCAAGGCTCTCAACTGATGTGTTTTCGACATGTTAGTGATAAATTAAATCCATTTGGTGTTGCAAGCCTCCTCCAGCACAGAGCAGTATCATGGAAACAGAACAGGTCTGAGTATCACGGACACAGAACAGGTCTGAGTATCACGTAATACGAACATTGTGCTGTGTTTTGCAGTATTCCTGGCTCTGCAGTGTGTGCTTTCGACATGGAGCAGCTGGCCGGAGTGTTTGATGGAAGATTTAAAGAGCAGAAATCGCCCGAGTCGATATGGACACCTGTTCCAGATGAGGTTGTGCCCAAACCGAGGTACTGAATGAAATGACATTTACAACTTTAGAGAGTGTTTTATGTCCTCAAATGCCAACCTGCAGAGAGAAAGTTTATAATAATGCGCTGTGTTTATGAATTTCTCAGGCCGGGTGGTTGTGCCGTACAAGGCACGAAGTTCAACTCCTCCAACTCTTTCCCAGATGATATGCTAACTTTTGTCAAGACCCATCCGCTGATGGATGAAGCCGTCCCATCGCTCGGTCAAAGACCATGGATTGTTAGGACCATGGTCAGGTGAGGACAACTTTCTCTCAGGCCGCCTAGACCAGGTTGTTTACTGTTAAAACCAGGTCACACAAGGAACATGGTATCTGTTTTGTCACTGGTCTGAATCGGAGTACCAGCTCTAGTTGAGCTATCAAGTCGAACTCAATCACACCATCTGGTAGTCCATCAACCACCTAGGCTACCTTGGGCCAGCAAATTCTGAAAACCTTCAGAAGCTGATTTTAGCTGGATTTTTCACAAACTTCAAGCAAAAGAAAACTAGCTGCTAACTTTCTCCGGTCATGCTTTTCTTCTCTTAAGTTCCAGCCTGTGTCGTCTGCTCGCATTAGTATCTGTCCAATCTCAGTCTTCAGACTATGGGGTTCCAGCAGCTGGGGTTTCTCAGCATCCCACAGGGCACAACAAGATTATGGTGACAAGTTGTTTGTGTCATTTTAAACACTCAAGGAGATGAGTCTTATTTTAGAAAACTGAATCATCCTAGTAGAGCAGTTTTGGTTTCCTCAAGATATGCCAGTTTGTCAATGCAAATTGCTTTTCGGATTTATGCGTTTTGTTATTTTGGCAGCAGGTTTTGGTTTACAATTTAATGCCTCTTTTCCACATTCGGTCTCATTTGAGAATGAATTAAGTTGTCTTCTGTTGCTTTCAGATACCAGCTCAACAAAATGGTGGTGGACACAAACGCCGGTCCCTATGGCAACCAGACAGTCCTTTTCCTGGGTTCCAGCCGAGGGACCATCCTCAAATTCCTCGTTACCCCTAACAGGGATAACACTGTGACGAACAGCAATGTGTTCCTCGAGGAACTGGAAGGCTACAACCCAGACAGGTAGAGGTTAATGTTGAAACGTGCCCTTTTGTGATTGTATATTGGTGGAGAATCACAAGCCACAGCATGCAAACAGATGAGGCGTTAGCTGGTCATTATTTATTGCTGAAGGTGGTAGGAGTTTGCAACCAACACTCATTTTCCATGGGTATTGTGCTAATTGCATCTTGATCCAAACAGACAAAATGGTGTTTATTCTGTTTCTCCTCACATTCGCACATTCTATACCACTTATTAAAAAACCGAGAAACTTTTTACACTCTAGTCTAAAGCCAAAAACATATGCTGTAAATCTGGTGAACCTGTCTGCAGGGTGTTAATTTCCAAACACAAAATTAGCTAAACAACACGAAGACCCTTGATAAAACATGAATCAGCACGAATAACTAAAAATGTCCATGCAATTTATCAGAGTAGGAGTGTGTATGTGGTGAGAACTATTTTTTACAGTCTATGGGTGAGAATGGCGACTAGGACAGTGCTAGCTTTGTCTAGCGCAGCGGGAAACAGGCTAATCAGAGGAGTGTAGATGGAGTAATCAGATCAGGCTCCGATCATGCTGGCCTTGCATAACCTCTGCCATCTCTCATCACACGGCGGTAAAGAGGTAAATCATTTGCCTCGCGCAGGTTCAGGGAGGCCGCGACCGATGGAAACTGCTCAAAAATGCCTGTGTCATCATCCATATCGATCAAGACACTGTAGCTAAACAAACAATTACACAATTAGAATGACGGGCTTGGGTGGTAATTCATGTCAATCTCTTTTTATAAACGCTTTCCTATTTATCTTGCTCGTCTTTGTATCTTCTGTGTAAGTTGTCTGGCTTTTGTCTATGTAATAGTCTTTTTCTCGCTTGTTTTCTGTGATCTAACTATAGCAGTGGTTCATATTCATCTCTTACGTCTTCTGTTTCGCTCTCCTACTCGCATGTGTCAAGAGAGCCAGCTTTTTTCTTCGTAAATCAGTTTAAACTTGCCAGTGGCACCTCTTTATCTCACCCTCTCTCTGTTCTCTTCCTGTTTCTCTCTTTCGTTACTTGTTTTGGCTGCCTAAAAAAGGAGCTGTACGACTGCAATGATTCATTCATTCATTTTTTTTCTCTCTCTCACTACGCATTTTTCAACTAGGGCTGTCAATTAAATGTGTTAATTTAGTGACACAGTATACATATTCACCTATATGATCATTCTGTGTTTGTGCATGTTTATATACATATTGTGTATATATATGATTAATCAGATTAATGTTTGCCATATAATGTAATTAATTTAATACATTTTTAATTGTTAATTGAGTTTTACATTTTCTAGTCTGTATATCTTTTTGCTTCTCAAGTAAATTGATCTGTTTTTAAATTTGTTTTTCTTTCTGTAAAATAACACTAAAATGCTGATTAGGAAAATGACTTTTTGAAGTGAGCTTGATCTCCTTTCTCATTGCCTTTGGTAAGTGTGGCTCATTACTCCAATCCGATGCATAAAGTACTAATGATATCTCCGCTGCTATTGAGGCCATTATGGTAAACGTTTCTATAACCATATGTCATGTATGTGTGCATATGTATACAAACAAATGTGCTTTCAAGCCAGCATGGCAACTGCAAAAGAGAGACTCTAAGTGATAAGTGGCAATTAAGTGTAAAGCACAGAGGAGTGGGCGGCTGCCAGACTCCCAGATATCAATCTGATTAGTTACTGAGGCCAAGCACAAAGTGACAACACATTAATATGATATCGCATTAATACGACACGCGTTTTCTGTTTGAAGCCCTTTACGCCTCATCCTATTTTTCATTCAGAGGGTGAAAGTTAGTGTCAGTTCCCTAGACGCATATAACAAGCTGGTATCTTAATGAATAGATGGCCTTGGTGGAAATTTTTCATGATCTTTAACAATATTAGTTTCAAGATGACAGCAAACTTTCATAACTTAGGTCTAATGTGTTAAAAGGATAGTATATATAGTGTGTGTGTGTGTGTGTATCGAGTTCCGATAAACATTATCAGACTTTGTTAGGCTTGACTGTTTAGGCTTTATTAAGGTCATTCTGTATCAAACTGTGCTTGAGTGTTTTCTCTGTGTAAATTGTGTTTGACTTTATCCCTGCACTCTTTTAATTTGTTGCAAATTGATTTGGACCGTGTGTGTTCCAGGTGTGGGACGGACTCTCCTCAGGCCAGGCAGCTGCTATCTCTCACGCTGGACCGCATCAGTCACAGCCTCCTACTGGCTTTTCCCTCTTGTGTGATCAAAGTGCCTGTAGCACGCTGCCAGCTCTATTCCCGCTGCATGAAGTAAGTGACACACACAGACACTCCCAACACACACTCACACTCCCAGAATGGCTAAACACTAAGCTTGTAATTGTCTTAACCACAAATTATTGGTCAGGAAATTAACAAAATTTAAGCAAATGCACTACTTAAAAAGCCATTGCTGTCTCAGAAAAACAAACATCAAAGACAGAATGAAGTTTTTGGCAGAAAATGGGAAGTTGTGTGGAGTGATGAATCACAATGAAACACGAGTTGCATGGTGATGCTCCAGAGTGGTGTCTTCGAAAATCTGGTGAGAAATATAATAATAAATGCATCTCTACCGCAGTGAAGCATGGAGGAAGAGGTGTCATTGTGTGGGAAGCCTTTTTAGCTGCTGGTATTGGTGAGCTACTGTGAAAAGTAATTTAATGCTTCGGAGTACTAGAGAATATTGCAGAATGACTTGCTTTCCACAATTGAAAAGTTATCTAAAGAGGAATGATCAGATGTTGCTTTTCAACAAGACAATGCTCCTGTCCAAGTTGCAAAGACAACCAAGAAGTGGCTTGAGGACAAGTCATTATGGAGCATCTGTTTGGAAATCGAACGTGTAATTTCTAACACAGTAACGATCCAAAACACACCACACATGCAACAAAGGCTTTTCTTAATCCCATTGAAAGCCTTTGGGAAATTGTATACCTCAAACAAAGCTGATGAATAAATCTCAGCTTTGGGAAAAATTTAAGAAGGCTTGGCAAGATATTATGCATGACACATGTAGGGAATACTGTTTCCGGTATCTCAATAGCCATTTATGAGCACTATTTATTCATATCACACTTTTAAGCTATGCTTTTAAAACGTTACAGTGTACACTACAGTCTCTGAGCTCATGGCATCCCAGACACCAACATTTTAAACATTTATAAAAGATGAATCACTTTCTGGCCAACTGAGATTTTGTTATGTAGAAATAGATTTTTCGGTAGTATTACAGCACACCGTGAGTGTACAGTATATTAGCACTGTTTGTCGTTTGCTTTTGGTATCTAATAGAGCGCTTGAATCCGAAAATGATGACGCGTGACGTCAGACTTAACAAGCGAATAGAGTCTATTCCTATATAATAGCTGCTGTAATCAAAAACAAGGGGGAACCAACAAAATATTAATAACTAATTATATTCTAGGCAACGTATGCTTTATTTCGTGAGCTTTTTGTTTTTATATGATTTTTTGCATAGTAAAATAAAATCCATATTCCACAATAAGCTATAGTTTGCCTTATTTATTTATTGCACATTTTTGTGCACAAACCCACACATAAATACATTTACCTAGCTATGTAACTGGGAACCTCCCACTGACTCATTGATACTGTTGTTAAGTAAAGCCATTCAAGCTAATCCAGAACTTAAAACTACCCCTAAAATACAAATTTAACATGAATAGTGACATCATTTAGTGCCTGAACCATTTGTCCTTTTAAGTACAATTCTAGCAATTGTTTATAGCTTTCATCTCTAGGATAGCTCTGTGTTTCTGTGATCACTGGTCAGGGACAGGCACCAGCCCGTGCTCTGTGTCTGTGCCCATGGGCCATCGGTGCAGCCCAGTGAGGCGTACTAACACATGTCACACATCTAATGTGTGCACTGAACCAGGTGGATCATACTTGGATGAAATCCAGCGGAATTAAAGTATATACAGTCAGGCGCCGTAGGGGTATCATTCATTCTTTTTTCTGTTGTTTCACAGAAACTGCATCGCCTCACGGGATCCCTACTGCGGCTGGACCAGAGGAAGCACCTGCTCTTTCCTCCGTGCAGGTACCAGGTGAGTTTCGACAATGTACCTGATAACATAACGTCTTTTTACGTAAACAACAAGAGTTCCATCTTCAGACAAAGCATCTAAAAAATACTACTTTTTGTGTTGTGCCTCTGTTTCAATACACTTGTGAAATTATATCCGTCCTCAGAGAGACAGTTTTATTGAGTTTTGTGTGCAAATACAGGTTGTCTGACGGTATTCTGAGATCAAAACGTGGAGACGTTTTACCTCCGCGCCGTTATGCAATTACAGCTCTCTGGCTGGATCTGATTTGATTTACCAAGGACGGTCAACCTGTCGATCGATTCTGTCTCGCATAATGCTGAAAAATTCTCACCAATTGAATTTCACAGCGGAAAAACGATACAGAAGTCGTTCTAATTACTGCCACTTGCTAATATACACAAACAGTGAATATGCAAAACAAGTTCAGGGACTTTCTGTCGGCTGTTTATCTGTCTTTATGTGCTTCTCAATTTCTACAGTATGGCTAATGTTCATCCTCAGGAGAGCGGCGGGAAGGAATCTGTGTGCTCATTTAAATTCTCGGGGTGGTTTACCACTATAGTATAAAAAAAAACAGCCATCTTCTCTCAGAGGAGTTCTGGAGATTACTGCTCTGCGCCTACAGTTTGTAGAAACATTATATTTTATAGACATTTCACAGAAAGCGTTTAACCACACGGGTGTAAACGTATCTTCTGAAAAACTAAGACCCTGGCAGTAAAAGACCCCTGGCTGCCTTGTTGTCCTGAGCTTTAACTAATTGCCGACGGTAGTGGAAAGAGGCTGGTCCCCCAATGCACGCTTCTGCTGTGCGTAGCCTTCGGCCTTTCCTCTGTTTGACTTATGCGGTTGGAAGGAAGCCATTCGTGAGTCGACTGCAGTCATTTTTCTTCATTAATGTGGCTTTAAGGTAACACAGAACATCTCTAATAGAGCACTGTGATGCCTCTGTGTGTACAAGACTTGATCACGGGCACAGATTGAGTTTCTGCACACATCCTGCACAAGCTTTTAATTTGTAATATTGCTTATTATCAAAGCCAAGAGGAGCAAAGGACCAGAAAAACAAGACGTTTTAGAATGACCCTTCAAGACGGCATTAAAAATTGTGTTTTTCTTTCAAAGAAAAAGAGAGAGAGAGAAAATACACAGGCATTACTGTAATTCAGACGGTGCAGTTTTATGGCCTATTTATGTGGTTTGCTGATGAATGTTTCTACTACTGTTCTTTCACCACAGGCTTCCCTTCGAGCAAGACGTCGAGCACGGGAACACTTCTCACTTGGGCGACTGCGACGGTAAGAGTACATTTTTATTACAACAATAAAACTCTTCATCCTGTGACCTCCCGTTCTCTCCCCTCGTCCCGTCAGACCTGCAGCCGCCGTCGTTTTCCGCCCCATTTTGAGCTTCTGTTCTGCTGCAAGGGTGCGTGGTGATCACAACTCACGCTTTCTATTTATAGTTCCCCTTTCATCTCCTATTATGTTCGTCTTGGAACAGCGTCGAGTTCTGGGTGAACCTCTCTGGGTGGGGTTCATCGCAGCAAATCAATCGTTCAGTCTGAAATACTCAGTCGATGTAGAACCCCTTTGATCTCACCGCTGATTCTGCACAGGCATTGGTGCATGTTAATCTTGGGTCCACCACAGGAGACCTCGCTCATCTGCTGTGAGCCACAAACACTCGGATGTATAAATATTGCATAATGATCATGTCTGCCTGGCTGGATTTTAATCTGCTCATCAGGAGCTTTTGAAGTTTTCCAGGCCCTGTTTCAGTTGTGGTGCACAAGCCAGAAAGTAATGGGGTGGTGGGGCCAACTGCTGTATTTGCTAATGTGTTCCCTAATGGAGAAGATCAGTAAGTCAAGGGAAAAAAATAGTAGCTCTGTCACAGCAGCATGAATAATGTGATGTAAGAGAGCTTTATTTTGTTTTTTGATATTCTTACAAAACTTCCCTTTTTAAAAAAACTAGCATAAGTTTGTTCTGTTTCAAAACATTGCGACTCAAATACTTTTAAAATACCTGCATTCCAATTAGATATTGTTAAATTATTTTAAAATAATTAATGCATCAGGTATCATGAGCTAACCTAACAAACAACCCTTTTTTTAAGCATTCATAAATATAGATCCATTTTAAATAATACAGTATGATATATAATTATTATTATTATATTTATTCATATCTAGAATTATTCATATTATTTATGTTAATAATAAACTAATACTAAATAAATTATATACTATTGTTCATTTATACATCTCATGATTTTATGGCATTTTATTGACTCTTTTTTAAAGTGTTACCTATACTTCTATTTCATTCAGTATTGAAAGTATTGATACAAATATTTCATTCTGTTTCAGAATTAACTTTACCCAATATAATAGTTGCTGTGTAGAATTTCTGCCTTCTTTTTTTCTGCTGTGCAGAATTGCTGCCGCCATATTTTCTAGTAAAATGTCTAGAAATCCTTGAAACAAGATACATTTACTTAAGAAGCAACACTGCATTAAATATTAAGGCATGTTTTCTGCGACTGTATCTTTAATGCAGGTGTCCTACTACTGCGGTGGCAGATTTTTCTCTCCACTTATTTTAAGTATAAACAAGTTCAAAACAAGTGAAAAATTTGCCAGTGCAGTAAGACAAAATAAGCTTATGTTCAAAACATTTATCAAAATAATCTACAAAAACAAGTCTTAATATCTTATGTAGTGTTGCTTCTAGAGTAAATTTATCTTGTTTTAAGGAATATTAGATTAAGATAGGCCAGCACTAACTGACATAAACCAGTGATGATCAGCATGTAAACTCATGCTGGTTTAAGCTGGTCTGGTAGGCAGGGTGTCTCTCTAGTGACTCTTAGACTGGGGGCTTGCATGGAAAGCATCTCATTCTTCATCTGTAATAAGTCGTGTGTAAATAAGTGTTTGCCTACAAGGCTTTGATCAGCAGACCGTGTGTCACATCCATCACTCTCCTCAAGTGTGCTTCTCCTGGGCCTGCAGTGCAGAGAGACACAGACCAGGGGTTGAGAAGTGGGCAGTTTAGAGGATGTAGCACTGCATCCATCACAGTTTGTTAGCTGGTGACTGGCTTTCATCTACTGCTGGGAGGGTTACAGACAGAAGATTCGGGGGGCAGCCTCAGTGATGGAGATCACCCGGATAAGACTGAACTTCATATGACCCCAGATGTCCGCTTGCATGTCCGACAGGGCTTAGATGGCTGATGTTAACAGCTTCTGCTTAACGGCAGAAAAGTGGTCAGTGGAAGTGGGGGCAGAGGAAAATAATTGATTTTCATCTCGTCTCTCTGACTCAGTCTGGGCTGAATGATTGCGAAGGGTAGGATCCATAAACCAACGATGCAGATGCAGAGCACAAAATGGTAGAGAGATGAAGTAAAGCAAGTATAGATGGAGGAGTGGTGGTGGTGGTTGTCAGACAAGCTGGAGCCCGTGACTGAGGGCAGGTGTCTGGGGTGGGGTTGGGTGCGCAGACAAGGCCGTGAGTGATGTAGAGAGCAAGCTCTGATGTCTCCCGTGTCACAGAACCGTCACTGCTGCAATTCCCAAAGGCCTTGCGCTGATATAACTCTCTGACATGCTCCCGTCTGCACTGCAGTAGCGATTTCTCATTCCCTCACTCTTTCACTCTGCCTCTCTTGGTTTACAAATAGTGTAAATTTACTTTTGACTTTCTCAAAAATCAAGTACTCTTTAGAACTGCGGTACAAACCAAATTGACGGATAACATGAAACCTTTTTTGTCAACATCAAGATTTTAGGTATTTTTGATAGGTTTTATTGTAATACTGTAAATGAACATTTTGCCAATTTCAGTTCGATTTAAGAAGTCATATCATACATTTTTCTACTTATGTGAGTAATTTTGTTGTTCTTTGTTGCAGACGTAATGGATATTTTTTTCAATAAATGTTTTTTGTACTGTTTGGGATGTTTTCATTTTGGAAAGGAAGTGTATGTTAATGGTACATCAATATCTTTTTTCTCAATAGTTCAAGTAAAATTAGATTTTTCTACATGGCCCCTTTCTAACTATTTGAATATTGTAACATAATATGGAATATGCAAGGGTTCCAGTCTCAGCCAGTTTGTTATTGTAGCTGTACAAAAACAGTCTGTTATGCTGATTTATGTTGGAAATTTAATTTATCATATTATTTTAATGGATTATTGTAATCATAAACACAGGTTTGTAGCTCAAATAGTTTTAGTGCAGTTTTTTATACTTCCATTCATTAGCTGCTTTAAGTACTGTAAATAACTAGAAGTCTTTCACATTCACAGCAAATAGCTTACATCCATGTTGAAAAACAAGGATTGCAGCTCATTTAAAGAGGTCATTTCATTTATAACAATTCTCTGAAGTCCACTTATAATGTCAGTGACAGACGTAATTTAATTCAGAATTGGTCATTTTAATGTTTTAGCTCCAATTAATGCTGTTTTTTCACTGTTTAGGAAGTTTGGATTTTAAAAAAGCTACAAAAAATTAATGATACAACCAATTTTTTTTGTTATAGGGGGAAATTTGATTGTTCATTATGACCCTATTAAGTGGTCCTGCAGTAAGTGAGACAAATTATTAATTATTTTGAAGTCATTAATATGAGGCTGTATAAAAGCTGCATCCATAGTAATTAGAAAGAATGAGAAGAAAAAAAATCAGTTTTAATGGTACATAGCTTGTCACATTGCTGGACACTTCTGTGTGATATTACTGCCCAAATATAACTCTCTGTATCTTTTTTCCACCTTCACTTCACCTTGGTGTTTGAGTAACCGATCAGGCAGTTCCTTCCGTCTCTCTCATTTTGTTCATCAGTGTGAGGACCGTAATTAGAGATGCAACTGCTCTTCCTGTGCCCTGACCAAGCACTTAGCGATCTGCTTCAAAATGTCAGCTCTCCTTTTGCCTGATACTCCAAAGGGGAGCTGATCAAAGTAGATGTAGACATCAGACGCTTTAATTTAGTTGACCTGTGAGGCCTGCCCTCAAAGGCCCGAGACACGGCCGCCAACAGCCACTTGTCTTTCTGCATTTTGAGGGCCTATCTCTTTGGCTTTATCTTTCTGCTTCTTTCTCTCAGTTTAGATAGGCTGCCGGGTTTATGAATTCTTGCATAATGATGGATGATGACTACACTAGCTGCAACAACTTTGCTCAAGAAATCATCAACAGTGCTTGAAACAATTAACTTGTTTGTTGTTAGAATGCTGAGTGCATGTTGTATACAGAGAGAAATGCTAGCATGAGTTTTTACATTCCAGCCTGGGCGGACACTTTGCTCTCTCGCCTGATCTCAGCTCAATGTGGTGTTAACCCTTTACAGGTCACAACCTTTAAGTCAGCCGTATCGATTACAGGATTAGCGGCTAATTTAACGGTCCTTAAACTTCAACAGTATCCTTTTCATTGTAAAATGTCAGGTCATATGAGGGGTGGAGCGGACTGTGAATTATTATGCCAAAGGAAGTAAGACCTATAATAGTAATTACATTAGGTTAGAAAGTTAGGAAATTCATCCAATTCAGACTATTCCTTCATTCAGTTCATTGTAAGCTAACTGTGCAAACAGTCCCAAAGGATAATTTAGCTTTGATGAATTGCGGTTCCCAAAAACTCCTGACAGATTCCTTTGAAAAGTCGACCACCCCAAAGCTCACTGCATAATTTTCACACTGGGGTGTAATCTAAATATACCTGCCGCTGTTGTAAATGTTAACCACGCGCACTTGTGGGACCCGACGGAGTCATTGTTTGCACAGAAAACTCATCAGCAAATGTCAACGCTGTTAAACCAGGCATCAAAAGGGAGGGAGGCATTAGTGTAGGAGAAAACTGTCATACCCTGCCGTTGTTACGAGTGAATGGACTGCAAAATGAGGCTTCTCCTCGAATCTGCAGTTCAACTACAGTATGTGTATAAAGAACAGAGAGTCATAAGCCCCATTACTCTTTTTTTTTTTTGCATCTATAGCCCTCCCGCTTACCCTTTTCTCTCACGTGTGTACGTTGCTGCTAAAGCATTTGAATATAATCACAGAGTTGACACAGATGGAGGCAATTACGCTGCTGCTAAAATATTTCCTGGAGAAAGGTGGTGTTTTGACTCGGCAAACAGTGGGTTGCAATCACGATCTAATTGAAGTCCATGTTACACAAAGAAGTGCACGGTGCTGTCATTCTCGTGGAGTGGGATGACAGCCATACAGAAAAAGGCAATGAGGCACATGCTGGCAAATTTGCTTCTCCACTGTA